AATTTCCTCATCTGCAAAATGGGTTTAGTATATATGTGAACTATCCATTACATTTCATAATTGCTTAATAAAGACCTTAGTGTAAAAACTAAAAAACTCTGAATTCCTTTTTATGCAAAAACATACTAAATATGTAAGACTGAAAACTCCAATAATTAAGTCCTGAAAGAAGCTGTACTTGATGAGTATTCTGACATTTTGATGGGCTATATTTAATTTGTTAGAAAGTTTTGCATAGAGTATTAAGGTACACATATAGCTGTGAAGAGCACTTTTTTTTTCCAAATCAGGTTTAATATTTAAAGGAATAGTAAGTGTGAAGTTAGAGAAAGTATGAGGATAAATATTTTCCTCCTACTGAGTCATATCCATGTAGTATGTTTTCAATTTATGTTTTAGTATATTATGCATAGTATATAATTTAAAATCAAAATGTGAGGCTTTTTGTTCACAGAATGTATCACCACCACAAAAGGATGATGCGACTTTTATCAAAGTTTAAATACATGTAAGTGCTCCATTAAATTTCTGCATATGATAATTACAGCTAAAGGTTAAAGCAAAGGAAATAAGTATGGCAGATTGAGTATATTTTAATACATGACACTGTGAAGAATGAACTTAAATCATGAAAAAAATTTAATTTAAGCCATTATACAATTACAAAGAAATAATATTATAGTCATCTTATAATGTTGATGCTGCATATCCACTTTTAGTATTTTAAGATGATATTGAAGACACTATTTTTTTAAATAGACACATTAAGAGTTTCATGCTAATTTGATGATTAATTACTTGATCTTCATCGTTAGGCTTATTTAAACAAACATTACATAATTGTCTTTTTAATTCTTACTCACTAAAAAAAATTGAGTAAATGTAATTATTATTTTCTAGAGAAAACTGATAATTCTGTTAGACCTCATGGTTCCTTTTAAAACAATAGTATTTTACAGGCAAGATTTTATATGCCATGGAAAGAACATGCTGAAATAAGAGAATATACCAAAAAAGAGAACAAATGCTTTTTCAACATGTCTGTTTTTTGTAGATTTGAAACTTCTTTCTTTTTATATGTGTGCTTCTTTATTTCAAATCAGGAGATCTAATTAAAGAAGCACTTGTCAACAAGCATCTGTGCATCTTATCACATGCAAATTTTAGAAACTAATATTGCTGAGCATAATTAGCGTAAGAAAATGTAGTTCAGGTTTTGCTAATAGAAATAACAACTAAAGATATTTAAATATGTCATAGAATATATTCAGAGTAGGCTTAGAGTCTATTTTAAATGACCGCACCAATGGAACGTTCAGTTGCATCATCACTAACAGTAGGCTTGGGTAATGAAATTGACTATAATGCTAGGGTCTGCACATGAGCTTCTTTCTTTCCATTTTAAATACTTGCTTTGTCAACATTAGGAAATGAACTCTTCCATATGCATTTTTTACAGTGCCTAAGTAAGAAATTTTCTTAGTAAATCAGTCAAGGGCTCTGAAAAAAATTTATTATTTTTAGCTGTTTGCGGAGGATAAAAAACAAGCTACATATAGTTGATGGAAATCTATAACTTTCACTTTAGCTTATGTGCTTATTGTTTAAATGCTTCTTACCTTTTTGTTAGTGTCCTAGAATTCCCTCCATGAGTCAATTGTATCTATGGATGCAATCTCTATTTCTGTCATTAAATATTCTTAGAAATCTTGTTATTGGTGAGCTGTTAAGCACATCCCACAGGAACTGTGGAGGTGGTTGAATACCTAACCAAAGCTGTTTTGGTATCTAATAAACCACAAATTTGACTGATACTACATCATAAAATTAAATATGTAGTTATAACTTTTGTAAATATTTAAATTTTAGGGCAATGAACTTGAATCTAAGATAGTTTAGTTTTAGTTAGGGCTGAAAGAAAACCAGAGATGTCTAGCCAAACCTTTCATTTTCTGTATGAAGGAAACCCAAAGCAGCCAAGCTAACCGGCAGCTTCCTGTGATTTCATCTAAGTAATTGCAGTGCCAAGACCAGAACTTCTCTTTTCAGATTCCCATTGGAAAATATTATCTTTTCATAATGCTTTCTTTATAGAAATGCGATTAAAATAACATGAAATTATGGACAAAGGTATATATACTAGAAATTCTAAAAAACTATTAAAAAACATAAAAATATAAATTTATAATTGATCCGACCTAAAATAAATATACTAGTAAAAATTAATATGTCTCAATTACTTGGTTTTATTACTGATTTACTCATCTACTTTTGCATTCTGGGAGAGCCTTTTAAGACTGATTTAGATGGCTCAGTTCATCTTTCTTTAAGCTGTGAGGGAAATTTTTATGTATTGACTTTTACTCACTGAGGGTAGCATGAGTTTTCCATATCATATCTTTGTTACTTAGATTAAAATGCTTAAAAATAGCTACTGTGATAACTAAGTAATTGAAATTTTAAAGAATTTCAGTTGCGAGGATTTAGAGCCTTGCTACTGAAACTGCCTTACACAAACCAACAGCATCGAATCAGTGGGGAATTTATTACAAATGCGGAATCTCAGCTTCCCTTTCCCTAGACCTAGACCTACTGAATCACAGTCTGTGTATTTACAAGATTCTGGATTCCTATGCACATAAAGGTTGGAGGAGGACTTATTTAGAGAGTTAGAAATCTTAAAACCTGCTCCTGTTTATTTCCTTGTCTTTTTTTGCTCATCTTTCTTTCTTTGCCTCCTCCTACCCCTCAAAAAAGGAACATAACAATACAGGAGTCTGCTTTAATAGGCAAAAAGAAGGACAGGTCAAAAATGTTTAGAAGGAAGAAGAGGAAATACATTTCCATTCTGAGATGGCTTAAGGGACTAATTGGTTAATGATATGTCTTTGAAATGTGTGTTAGCATTGAGCAGATGTACATTCTTTTCCCTCTTCTAGGTTTCCCCCTGAGTCATTATTCACATTGGTCCTGCTCCCAAGACCAAGGTTGTATAACTGTATTGAGAAGTGGAGTATAGGAGTTAATTATACAGTGTTGAATTTACAAAGAGTGAGCCAGAAAGCATCAAAAGCAAGGACTGCCTGTTCCAGTTAAGGACAGAGAGCAGCAAAGGATTTATTGTTGATTATGTAGCCTGGGAACCACTATGTAAACCAGGCATTGTGTGAAGCAGAGGAGAAATGGCTGTGATTAAAAGCAAAGGAAAATACCTAAGTCCAGGCTTCCATATACAAAGATGACGCCAGTGAGTTTTTCTTCTAGTGAGTAATGGATTGAAAGTGTAATGATTAAGAGATTAGACTCTGAGCTAAAACTTTTGTGGTTCAAATCCCAGCTCATCTATTTCTTGGCTCCACCACTGTGGGCAAGTTACTTAATCTAACCCCTTCATCTGAAAATAGAGAAAACAATAGTACCTACCTCATAAGGTTATTTTCAACAGTAAATGAGAAAATATATGTAAAAAGTAATTAGCACAGTGTCTGAAATGTAATAAGTACTCAGTAAGTATTAGGGTGTATTATTTATGGATGTATGTATTTAATAATTCTTTGAATTGGTTTCCTTTTTGCACAATAACATAACATTATGTGTGTGTATGTCTTTTTTTTTTTTCCCCTTGGATTTGGATGTGGTCTGTGGCCATGAAAAATAGCTGCAGCCTTAACTAAAGAAAATTACCTGTTGCTAGAGAGTAAATGTTTGTTGATCACCTCTGAGATAATGAGTACTATGCTGGTATGCTGGTGGTGGCAGTGGTAGAGAATATGATGAAAGAAAATGAGAAATATCATATAATCCCCTTGAGGCACTTAGATCATGAATTGAAAGAGATGAATTATACACTTACATGGGAGAAAAACCTGACAGATAATTACAAAACAACATACTTACATGTTGAAAATTATATACTTGTAGTATAAATTAGCATGTTTGGAGTGATTGAAAGGTTACCATCAAGATTGGTCATTAACAGCTTTGATTTTCTTCAAGTGTCTTCTACAAAGAAGAAAGAAAAAGAACAGAACTATTAGAATTATTAGGCAAAACTATAGTTTGACAAGGCTAAAAGACTTTCTTAAATCTGCTCAATGTTTAACATCTTTTTAAAGAGTAGACGCTTTCAAATCTTGATTTAGAAGCCAATTAAGCACCAGAGGGCAGAATATGAGAAAGTAATGGTATTAATACAATTAGTACAGCCTCCACCCTCATTGTGGTTATGTGAACGTAGAACACAGGCATAAGGGGGAAAGTTCCAAAGGGTGCTAATCAGATTGTGTTTTACAGTTTTATCATTCTACTTTATGCTGACCACTTTTTAATACTTTCAAAAGAATTCAGGCTTTGGAGAAAATGGGAAAATGAGGAAGTTTAAGATGCTTAACAAAAGGGTTGGGAATTAGGTGATACGAAGAAACATCACAGAGCATGAGATATTTTCCATCTTACGGAGCTTAGGAAGAAAAGGTGGCTTAGAAAGGGGGGTTAGAAATAGTCCTGTAAAAAACAATATTGGTTCCTTGTTCTCTATCCCCTATGGTCCCTGCTGCCATCTACATTTTCAGAGCAGTTGTGGAAGGAAGGGAGGGGTTGGATTTGGCTGGGGAGAGTGGAAAATAGGTAGAATAGGTGGCAGGAAGGCAGTCAGTAGCAATTGCATTAATATTTCAGGAAAATTAAAGTCTGAACTACGGCTATGACAGTAGGGTACGAACTAAGAGATGGTTTTCCAAGGTCAGTTGTGGAATTGTCTGCCATGGACATCTTTAAAAAGGAGAAAAAGCCACTGTTCAGGAAGAAGCAACCAGGGTCGTCATCTCTATTACTACGAACAAGTGAAAATGAGCATGTGTCAATGGGTGGTTAAACATTGTGCGAGGGTCACTCAGGGCCTGGCCAGTTCTTCGAGCCTGTGATCCCTTCAGATGTTTGGTTGACTGTTCTTTGATCCTTCATCTAACCTGATTCCCTTTCTCTTTGCTTCTGTTCCACAGTGCTCACGTATCCCGAGTCAGCAATGTTTCAACAACAACTGGAGAGTAAGTTGTTTGGGTTGGGTTTTTGGTTTTTATGGGGGTTTTTTTGGTTTCGTTTTTTTTTGGGGGGGGGTTTGCCCTTTCCCATTTATTAAACAGAAAAAGTCAATTCCAATGGTGTGCAGTATTAGATGATTTAAAAATTAAGCAACCAATGGTTTTTAAACTAATTCTACACCAAGGAGAGGACTAAATAAGAAGTGTTCCTGTTTGAGTGCCTGTGTATGAAGATGTTTCAGGAAGTGCATGGTGTGATTCCAGTTACCTTTTAGTTCTATTTTTTTCACAAACTTTTTGAAATACCCTTATATGTGTGACTATAGGCAACTCCACGATTTGAAAATATGAGCTTTTTGTTTACTTCATTAAAAATAATGTCAGGGTCAATGAACATTTACAAAGCAGTCTGTGTGCTCTGGGAGCCATCTTCCAATGGAGAATGTAATTAAAGGTGTCTTTACTTCTTACTTCATTTTACTCATTCTATGGAGACTATATTTATTAAGCACCTGCAACAGGCCAAGCACAGTGTTAGATGTGTAATGTCAAACAAACGAGCTGTGCCTTCAAGGATTCAGAAAAGAAATAGGGATGCAGAAAAGAAAGCAAATTAGTAATGACAACACGTGCTTTCTCCACAGGACAGTGGCAGTGCTCTATTAATTACATGCATCACATGTCTTTGTCCTCCAAAGGCTTCCACTTAGACTAAATCTAAACTCCAGTAATCTGCTGTTGCCTACCTCTGACCATGTTACTCATTACACTTTGGCCACGTTACCTCCTGTTCCTGGAAGCTTATCCCTGCCTCAAATCCTTTGCCCTGGCTGTTCCTCAACTTGGCCAGCACTTTCTTTATCATTCACTCTTTGTTCAAATATCATCTTAGAGAATTTCTCACTATCTGAAATTACATTATTTGTGTATTATCTGTCTTGCCTTATAGGGACGTAAGCTCCATGAACACAGGGACCTTGTCTGTCATGTTCATTGCTGTCTCTCTAGAGCCTGGAAAAGTGCCTGGCATATATTAGGCACTAAATAAGTACTTGTCAAATGACTAAATTAATAGCTTCTCACCCAAAGACCTTTTCATCACGCCTACCTGTCTTCTTTTCTTACTGGGATATGTGTGAGCCTTTTTGGAGCATCTTCCCTTGGCAAAGATCGGGTGTAGGAGGTAAAGAAGATAAAGTGTGATAGGGAGGAAGAGAAAAGAATTATAGGAAGCACTAATTGGATCAGACAAGATAGATTTAGATTTGTTTTCTTCCTTGTTGGGTGAAGAAGCAATCAGAGGACAGGACTGACCCTCCTTTAGCTTTGTCAGTTTTAAGGAGATTCCAGAACTGTACCAAGACTGGCATGTTCTTGCCTTGTTTGTTTCCTAATAACCTTCTTATATGTCTTGAATGGTTTGGAAAAGCTGTGGACTTGGGCTTTACTTATTTACTCACATTCCTCTGTACCACTATTAGGTATTATTGAATCATTTGAGATGTAGAATTCTAGATATAAAAGTCCTAGTGTCCAAGTTAATTATGTAAAATTTGCTCATTGTCTTAAAATATTTTAAGTAAAATTTAAATGAAATAACTATGAGTCTGTTATAAAACTGAATTTGGAAAATCTAAAGTTCTTTATGTTCTCAAAATCCCTTTTAAGTGAATGCTACTTCTCAGTCTGAGCATTTAGGAAATATGTGTGTGGTTCTATTTCAAGTGAAGAAAAACATGCTTTGAGGAGTATAAGTTAAGATTTTCCATGCCAGCTTATTCAGAATTAAATAGCATTGTGATGAAAGAAGGTTTAGACACATTGAAAGATCCTGCAGCTTTAGAAATGATACCATTTACATCTTATCATGCATTCTTTTTAGCCCTTTGTGCTTACCTGTTTTCCTCTTCAATAATATATTTTGAGGGATTTGCATGAATACAGCTTCAATTATATACATCACAATTTAATTAATTGAATAGAGGTTAGAAAAGATTATGCCATGCTGTTTGAGTTGTAATTGTTCTGGTGAAGTTTTTTTTCCAAATAACTTTATTCCCTATATAATTTTATCTTAAAGGGATTCTAAGCAGATAAATAGGCATTATCAAATTTGTGCCAGTTTGCTTTGCAAATCATACTGTCTTCTTCTCCAGAACTGGTGTGAAATCTGGAGGAAACTCGCCTTTGTAAGAATAGGTCTTTTATTATTTAATGAGGGGGAAAAAAAAGTCTCTCCTTGTTCTGCCTTATATTAAATGACCCTTATTTCCTGAATGCCTCATAATTGTTGCTAGACTTGCCCTGAGCATTTCAACAATCCTGGACTTACAAAGATGAGAAACAAAGTTACCAAATTGGTGGAATTTGTTCAGTGTAGTTTTGTTTTTAATGCATGATGCAAATATTTTTTAGATTAATGCCTCATACTGTATGTTTGTTCATGAAGTTCTTTAAAAATCTTTCATTAGATGAAAAAAGACAAAAGAAAAATCTTTCATTAGAAATGCAGATATTTATTGGCATATATTTTTAAAGACAGTCATGGGTAAAGGTTGATTGCTTAATTCACTCTGTATTCTTTCTTACCAGACTCTTAGAAAGAACTATCCGGTCAGCTGTAGAACAGCATCTTTTTGATGTTAATAGCTCAGGAGGTCAAAGTTCAGAAGACTCTGAATCTGGAACATCATCGGCACCTTCTGCCACATCCACCAGACAGCAACGATGCCTGTCCAAGGAGCAGCATGAAGTTCGACGTGGTAGAGACAAGTGAGTTGGCACTGGTTCTTCTTGCTTGAGTTTTCTCTTCTTTTTCAGATGTACTCCTAAGTTAGTCACTGTGTTATAGTCACACCCCCAAGTCCTCTCCCATTTTAGTAGTTAGGTTAAAACTTTAAAAATTTTCATTTTGATAATTCTTAACTAATATTTGGAAACTCATAGGTGATCAAATAAATATTTTTGTTTCATCTAGATGTTTGGTATGTTGGAGGAAGCCATCTCTGATTTAATATATTTCTTGGCTTCCTCACGAATATCTTATTTAAAGAGATCCTGAACCATGGGAGGAGAAAGTTGTCATATGCCTGTCTAGAGGTGGGCTTTTTTTTTTTATATACGACATTAAGTTGGCTATTAGACTAGTTTATGAACCAGCAGATTTCCCCATTATACTGAATTGATTAAATACTAGAATGTCACTATAATACTGTCATTTGATTACATTTTAGTATAAGAAAGGTCGAGTGAAAGTCTAATCAAAAGAGGAAAAGCTTAAGTTCTTGAATATTCTAATGATTAATTTTAAGACATTCCCAAAGCATGAATTTCAAGAATAGTGTTACAAAGAGTTTTATTCTTCATTGAAAGATTTGATAAAATTCAGATGAATAATTGCCATTCATATTATTTAATAATCATGATTTAAATTGTCAAGGAAAATAAATTTAAATAGACAATAGACTATATTCATGTATTTTCTCTGAAAGTCCCAAGTTTATTTTTATTCACTGTAGCATTTAGCCTGTATATAGTCATTGTTTTAAACTCCTTATTAAATGTCAAAGACTAAATCAGACCCTAGTCCCCCTCATTCTTTTTCACCTGGACTCATAATCTATGTTAAAATCTTTATGGAAAAAAAAAGAAACTTTTTTTGCTTAAAGAAAAACACAGAACACAAATACTATAAATAAATTCCATGCTGCAATCACTGAAATGTTTTTTAACAAATGTCGTTTTAGAATAAAACAGGGTCAAAGATATAACCCATTGACTTTACGAGTGGCATCTGTAGTACATTTTTAAAAACATTTATCTTGGAGCTGGAGGATAGGAGGAGTATTTGTTATATTCCATTTAGAAAATAGAAAAACTATACAGGAGATATTTACAATTAAAATTATCTACTGACTGAGGTTGACAGAAAGTGTTCAGGAGTATAACTGGTTTGTGTACTGCCTGTCGTATGTTATACGGCAAGTGCAGATTACTCATTTAACACTGTTCCCATCCTTTGCCTCATTTTCTGCCAAAGAGTGTGTAGCAACACTTTGCGTTTTAAAAATATCCTCAGTGTGTCACGACACCCTGCTTTCCACCCTCGTTGTTTGGACAGAGGGATAGCAAGTGAAGGTTGGAAGTGGCAGTGAGCATGATAGAGAGAACCAAGAGCGACAGGGGCAGCGGTGACGGTGGGTGCTTGGTGGCAGAGGGAGGACAGAAAGGACGGGGGCCAGACACGGCAGAGAAATAGGAAACATAGGCTAACCTCTCCTGCAGAATTTCAATCTAGGATTTCCCAAGTCCAGGGATGTTGCTGGCTTAAGTTATCTTGATTTTCTTTGAAAAGCAACACCAGGGGAACAAAAGAAGATTCAGAACGGTAGAGACTGACTGATCATCTAAAGACTATACCATGGAACTCAAGCCTTTTCCTTAATTGCTCTTCTCTGGTATTCCCTTCACTGCTCATTCTGGTCACTCATCCTGGATAAATCACAGCTGGGCACTGAGTAGGAGAATCTTGGGGTACAAATATATGTATACTGTTGGGGTCCTGTGTATATCCAAGGTAACTTACAAGCAGTCTCTCCATACTATCTCCTTGGTACATGGTCTAGGCATTCAGAAGTCCCTTGCATGCGCTCCTGGTTTGCCTCACCCTCCTAGTCATGGGACGCCCCTTCTTCTAACCTGAAACATTGGGTCACAATCGTGTCTTGATAGTCCTCCAACTCCCAGCCCACACTGAACACTTTCTCTCAGCTTTCCAGGTCTTTAGAGAAGTGAGGTCATTATCTCACAAAGCCTCAGATCTACTGACTTTGCCCACCTAGCTTTGACCACAGGTCAGTAGTTCTCTCCTCCAGCCACTCCACACCCCCACTGTGATGCTGGGTACTCTTGTGCTTTCACTCTTTTTTTTTGATCCAGGGATCTCGTTCCAGTCTTGTTTCCCTCCAGCTCTATTCCTTTCCTTTTGCTCACCTCCTTGCTTTTAATACTTTTCCAGCAGGTTGTTTCTTCCAGTATCTTCCCTTTGGTCTCACATCCCTCTTTTAACCTTCCTCCTTTCAATGACTTTGGCATGCCACCATGGAGGTCCTCTCCAATATCCCCAGGAGAATCATTAACATATCATAAATCATGAGAAAGTCCAGAATCATTATTATAACCTATAATAAATGAGTTTTTCATAGTATATGCTTTTACATAATTGATTCATGTACCTAAGATTTTCATCTGGCTTAGCTTAAAAATAAGGAAAGATTAAGCTAGACTTTATAATATTCTATTCAAAACTATTAACCTTATGGAATGGTTTAAAAATGTTTTGAAGGCTAGAAATCCATTTGTATCATCTATTATTTTGCCTCTGACAACTTAGAACTGCAGCCAATTAAAAAATAGTCTGGAAGCCAATGATGACCATATTTCAAGATGAGATAAAAGAGTCAATATAGTCTTACAAAAATCATCGTGGAAGATTGTTGAAACAAGCGATACAGAAGATAGACCTTAGTCTATAAATACTTCATTCATTTTAGTGCAAATGATTTGTTATTTGTCTAAATTTGTATGGCAGGCTCATTATTTGCTACTATAAAAACATAAAATTTTAAGGAATATGTTTATTTTATAAAAAGGTTCAATTTAATTCATTTATTACAACATTTACATCTGCCAGATCTATCAAAATGTTGTGAAATCCTGGTGATAGGTATATGGAAATTTGTTGTGATAATCTCCCTTCTTCTGTATATGTTTGAAAAAATTTATAATAAATATTTTTTTTAAAAAAAAGCAAAGCATCATTTAAGTAAAAATGGTTTCAATCTTTCAAAACACAATGAACTGGAAAAAATGATTCAAATGTTTCTTTGTTATATAATATTATATTAAAATCCTACTGCAAAGTAGAAAGAAAAGCATGGTCTATTAGGCAAATAATATATAGTTCAGTATTGCCACAACATTAAGTATATATGTAGGGGTGAGGCAGAAACCCTGAAAAAAATAATGGAAATAAGATCCAGATAATTAAAGTTAGGTGTCCAGAGATCTAAGTTCAAGTCAACTCTAAGTTATGTCAATTGTTGTTGAAACATGACAGCATGTTGCAGGAAACAATAGTGTATAAGTGCTCACACAGTCACATAGGTGCTGTGGCTGAGACGCATTGATGCACACAAAGCAAACACTTTCCTTTGGGGAGAACAGGATTTCCACATAAGTGATCTGCACAATCAGATTTTCGTGTATTTATTTTGACAGGATTTATTCCAGTCATTTATTTATTATTCAAAAGATTATAAAATAAACTTTGTCTTTTGATTTTTTTTTAAGTAATTTTTAGCTTTTGTATTAATCTGCTTGGACTGCCATAACAAAATACCACAGACTAGGTGGCTTAAGCAAGAGAAAGTTATTTTCTCACAGTTCTGGAGGCTGGAAGTCCAACGTCAAGATGCCGGGAGGGCTGGTTTCTGGTGAGGCCTCTCTCCTTGGTTTGCAGATGGCTGTCTTCTCACTCTGTGTGCATGTTTTCCTGATGTCTCTTCTTCTTCTTATAAGGATCCCATCCTATCAGATGAAAGCCCCCCTTATGACCTCATTTAATCTTAATTACCTCTTTCAAGGCTCTGTCTCCAAATACACTCACACTGGGGATTAGGGCTTCAACATTGGAATTTTGAGGGAGGAACAGCATTCAGTCCATACCAGCTTTCAAGCATGAAAGGCCCTCCATTAAGAAATTACAGTTGGACACATAAGGAGTTAAAAAAATATGAGGAGTAGTAAGAAGACAGAATTAAATAGTAAAACAAATAATTTTGAATTTAAGACCAAACTCATCCAGCTGTTTACAGAAGGTACATACATTCTCAGTGCTTGGAGGGGGGGATTTAAGAGTATCGGTGTGAGTATACATGCTTGCATGTTGGTCCCTATCAGCTTTTCCTCCTGTCTTCAATTGTTTTATACTTAAGGTATTTCTTTTTTTTTTTTTTTGGTCTTTTGTCTTTTTCCGTGTCCGGCAACGGATCGCAACCCTCAGTGTTGC